GCTCTTGCGGTGCTGCTTATGCATTCCAGTGAGTGATCTGGTGAAGTACACACAGTGATTAGGAAATGAATGCTGCCCTGAGAATCCTAACTGTAGCATTTACAAGCATGAAGAATGTCCTATTTTGTTGGGCTCAAGGTCCCTCTAGCCCAGTAGTCTGTCTCTAGCAGTGGCCAAACAGAGAGGAAATATGCGGGGATATTTTTCTGGAATGCACTCCCACCTCTGGCTATTTGCAGCTCAGTTTCACTGCACTTTTAGCACATTTTACAAACATGATGAAAGCTCTCCAATGCAGAGGAGTAGACACAACAAACACAAGATGAAAGGTTAGAAATTAGGAATAAAACACTGTAAGCCGGGTTGCCAATTCATTTTGATTCAAGTCTCAAATGTGCTGTTGCATTTGTTGTAGTTTCACTTGGCTACACCAAGTAGTGTTAATGTTGAATTTAAATATCACTCTGCAATGAGGGGCCAGTTTTACAGGTGTTGTATGCCTGTAACTTGCTAAATTCAGTGAACATAGTGCATAGTTATCAGCCTGGGCCATAAAGCTCAATGTCCTAAAGAAGAAAATCTCCCCAGAGTGATGGAAACTTAAAAAAAAATATATGATCAACCGTAATTATCCCACATCAATACACCTTAAGTCAGGGGGAGGCTCTGAATGTGAATCTAGAGACTCTTAGCATAATTTTACATTTCCCTTCAGTTTTAAGAGTTTCTTATTAAGGGGGAAAAAACCTTATATACAAGAAAATGCAAATTGCCAAAAATATACTATAAATGTTCTATATATTTTTTAAATTCTTCATATGTGTTTTGTCTTTTTATATCAGATCTTTAAAACAAACTGAGATGGTCACATTTTCAACACTAAGAATAAAATAGTACCTTTTTCATTATTTTCTGTTTCTTTACATGTCTCCGAACTTAGTAGGCCTAATGTACCAACAACTACAATACCAACATATCAACAGCAGCTGCTTTCTCTATTATGAGTGCTCTGCCAGTTCTCTCAACATCCATGTTACAAGTCACAAATATTATGGAGCACACCTAAGCTCTACACATCCTTATATTTCTTAGAGTAAGAACATAAATCTTGGTCACTTAAACTCAAAGGCCTTGATTTACAGAGTCACTAAGCATTTGTTGGGTATGATTCAAGTAAATGCACAGAAATTGTTGATGATCTAATAGACCATGAGATGACAGCAGAGCCATTCAGTATCAAGGCACTGTATCTTTTTCTCTGCATTTGTAGGGGTTCTAGAGAAATGAACCTGCACCAATCTACAATTGGTAACTATGGTAACTATGGTAACTATGCATTAATAATAGCAAGGAAATGTGGCTTAATTAACATGGTAATAATGGTAATGGATATACCATGGTTATATGATAATGACAGTCAAGAAAGCCATATTTTCTTTCCCTTTACTGTTATGGACGTGTTGCATGACACCAGGAACTTCAGCTATCTTCCTATGATCCAGAATTTGGTTCCACATTAATCAATACTGTTTAGCGCAAGATCCAAGCTTTCTGATCCACTAGTTCATTCCATCTTGGCCCACTCTGGACAGAGCAAGGAGCAGTGTGGCAGCGTGAGCACTTGTTGGGGCTGGTTGTAAAATGGATGATGAGAGGAAGCATGTGGGTTAACAGCAGTTATATTGGCATACCTGAGAACTGTTATGTGAGGATAGGGATGCACAAACAGGATAAAAGCAGCTGGGATTTCTTTAAAATCCTGCTCATTTTACAGCTCCAGTGCAGAAAGCTGTCAAAATACCATTGAACTCAGTGGGCTGACCAGGGAGGAAAAAGAGAGCCTGCAGGATATACCGAGCTTTGGGGAACAAGAACAACTTAAGATTGGTTTGGCAGCCAGCAGATCACTTTTTATGACAACTGTACTCTTTTTGATAAGGCAGTGTAAGATCTACCAATGAAAACTGATACATTAGAGTTATATGTTTACTACTTGTCGTTCTCATATATAATTTTTATGCTATACTTTTTACTGTGTTGTACGAAATGAACTCTTTACTAACAGTAGAGCAACAAGCAGACTGCCGAGGTTGCCTTGAGAAAATTGTTCCTTCCTTCCATAATCAGTCAGATGTTTTGAAGTCCCTTCTCATGCCTAAATCATAAGGTTGGTATTACTGCTTTTAAGATACAATACACCATTGATAGAACAAAACTTTAAAGCCAATTAAATTTTGGCAATCTTCCTACCACTGGCAAAGTCACCCTTGTTAACAGTTCCCCTTTGTAGCATGTTTGCAGTGCAATCATTGATTTCTGGAAAGGTTTTTTGGCACTTCAAGATATTTTGAAATATCTAATGAATTTGTTTTTATGAACAATTTTAGACTTTACTCAGAGTGCTTCAAAGCATTTTACTTTAAAAATAGGGCTTTTATGCACTCAAATGAGGTATGTATCTACATTTTAACACAAGGGAAAATACTCTTTAATATGTAGAACCTAGCTATACAAATAGTAATTTATTTGCATTTTAACTAGCTAAAAATTTCAGAAATCATCTTATACAAATCTTTATAAACACTGTCTTAGTAGATGTGAGTAAGGAGATATCACTGCTCTGCTGGAAAAATTCAGAACATTCAAAACATCCTGGATTTAATATAAATAAAAGCTTTCATGGCTATTTACTTAAAACAAAAATATCTGAATCTTAACAACCCCTTTTTCTTCAGTTTGTGTGGAAAGAATGTAATTAGGTTGGCAAAGAAGAAACACAAAATAAAATTAACTAGAAAGGCTTAATTTATAGTGAGATAAGCTTTTGTGAAGGGCAAAATCATTTTTAACAAAATGAGCCAACTTTACTATAAAATAAGCCAAATTTACTATAGGCTTGCTATAAGTTCAAACATCACTGGAGGGCATTTCAAGAAGAGGAAAAAAAATAGCAAGCTTTTAATTTGTTTTGGTCCCTTTTCCCGCAAATGCACTGCAATACTGTAGTCTAGTCCAACAAAGGTTTCCTTCTCATAGTGGCTATCTTAAAAATACTAATCTACTAATAGTAGTTGTATCCATGTTTAGTACACGAGCAGGGATTATATTTCATATTTATATATCAAATTTCATATGTTGTCTGCAAAACCATGTTCTGTACAAAAGCCATGTAAAAAGCATAGCAAGATAACAGTGGGCATGACTGTAGCAATAGCGTATTCTCAGGTACACTGGCAAAGTAATGTAAGGCTAAATCTACTACACTTTTAGCAACAGGACTCTTGTTTTTGCAGTTTCTCATAATGTGTTTGGAAATAATTGTGCTGTATTTTTGTTATGCTGGTATAAAGTGAAATTCTGCTCATTGACATACACAAATAAAATCCTTAGACACAACAGAGTTCTAGAAAAAGATGCGGCTATGCAGGCAAAGCTGCATCTTGTAATGTGAATTATAATTCTGAATGCAGTCACTACAATGAATGGCATCCAACAGGTTCTGCTCACTTGTTCCCCTCCTTCCAAAACACTAAATAAATCATTTTTCTAATTCAGTTCAGATTTAATAAGAATTTGAAGTCAGCTGGAAAAAGGTAAATGACTGAAATGCATGAATGCAAGGCAGTGAAAACTCATCCAGGAAAGCAAAAAACACATTAACAAGCAAAGTTAAAGGTATATGTAATTACGTGTAAAATTCATCTTTTAATGATTTCCAAAGACCTTATTTGAGCTAGTACAAAATTCTGCCAGCATAGCTGCATTGACGAGGGATCACGCCTCCTCCCATCCACGCAGAATTAGTGCTCATGATATTTGTCAGCCTTTTCCCCCCTGAAGAAGAAAGTAACACCGCGCAGTAGCTTCATTCACTTGGCACTCTTCAAATGGTAGGTAGGGTGGAAGAGATGAGTGAGCTTAAGGAAAACATTGGCACGGATGAGTCTCTGGACCTTCAAAACGCTTGCAAAGTGCTAGTATATTGAAGAGTTTCTGATCTTGTGTGTCTCTTTTCATTGCACGAGGTGCAGGAATCTTTTTCTTGTGAAGTCATGCTCTGTCTCAGTGCACAGCTGAAGGGCAATGAGAGAAAGAAGCAACTGGGTGAAGGTCTGAGATCAGCCTGGCGAGTGGTAGCATTCAGGCATGCTAGATTAAAGCAACTATATAACCACAGCCTTGTTTCCTGCCCACAAAATTCCTTTATGTTGAGCTGGGTTAATTTAACTATGTATCATCCACTGTTTTATAGGGGCGAGCATACAAAAATATACTATGGTACTGACAGAAGAGCCAAGAAAATATACCAAGACTATTCTTTCTGTGCTAACATATAACCAAGTGAATAGCTGACTTTGTGAAACCTGAGACCTGCTCTTGATATCTCCCACCTCCCAGAAGTCTATCAGCGGCACTACAGAACAGCTAAAAAAAAAACCTCTGACACAGAACAAGTAATCTAATGACTAGTGGCGTTCCCAGCACTATTCTAGTGTCACCACACCAGACTATGGCGAGTTTCATTCTCAGGGAAGGAACTATTTTGTGCTTCACTCTTTCCTTCACTCAAGAAGAGCAAGGAAGTGTTTTGTGTTTCACTCAAGGGAAGAATTGAACTGTTTTGTGTTTCACTCTCTTTTACTCAATATAAAGCAGGGAACTATTTCACCCCCCAGCCTGGAGCTCTCCCAGGCTGCAGCAAGCCCCGTTGCTCCACACAACCCCACCCGAGGCCGGGCAGCCCCTCGGGGAGCCCAGCACGACGAAGCCACCCCCACCCTCCCCGCGGCTGGGCACCAGGCCTCGCCCCTCCCGGCCGCGCCGCCATTTTGGGCGTGCTGCCCGCCCCCTCCCCTCAGGGGCGAGGCTCCCCCCGCCCCCCCCGCTCCCCAATGGGGCTCCCCGGCGGCCGCCCGGCCCCCGCCCCGCCCCTCCCCTCCCCTCCCGTCACGGGGCGGGAGGGCGGGGCCTTCCCCCTTAGCGCGCTGGGGATTGGCTGCGCGGCCCCGCGGGGAGGGCGCTGGTTGGCTGGCGCGGCTGCCGCTCGGCGGGGCGGGCGGTGGTTGGGCGGAGGTGGCCGGGCGCAGCATGGCCGCGGCCGTGGTGCGCGGGGGAGCGGCGGGCTGGCGGCGCTGGCACGGGCGGGTGATGGGTAAGGACCGGCCTGGATCGCGGCGGGAGCGGGGAGCGGGCAGCGGGCTGGCTGCCGAGCCTGGAACTTGAAAAAAAATGCCTTGTGACAGCTGGGTTTGCGTTGGGTTGTGGGGGTCAGGTTTGCGTGGCGCAGTGTTATCCCTCTGACAGGCAGGGGTGGAGAGCAGCAGGCGCTGAGGCGCAGCGGGTGCGGGTCGTGTGCTGATAAAATTGAAATATGAGAGACCTGCGTGTGTGCTGAGCATCCTCCTTGCGCCACAGCTTCACCAACAGCAGCCTGCGGCGTGGTTTTGATCTTCCCGTGTTTGGTGGTGGCCATCAGGTAGCTCTCTGGTCGTGCTTAGCCTTGAGAAGGACGCGCGCCTGGTTTGGTGGTGGTGGGCACGGCTGTGGAAACCAGCCCGAAGCACCCCGCTGACCCCTAAAACTCCAAAATGCGGTGCCCAAAGACCCGAGGAAGGAGCTGTGGCTGAAGGAGGCACGGTGGGTCTCTCCAGAAGCTCCACAGCACAAGGTTTTGCCCGTGGTGTTGAAGCGCTGACTTAGCGACGGCCGCGCTGAAAGTCCCATCGACTCCGAGACGCGTTTATGGGATGAAGGGCTAAGCTGTAAGCCTGCTTACCAGCTAAGCTCGTTTTCATCCAGGTTTCCTCATCTCTAACGTCTGCGTTAGGTTGGCCACCCTTTGCTGGAGTAGTCTAGGAGGTGTGTTTTGAGTGGAGGTTTCATTGAGCGTCGTTCTGAGGGAAAGGCCGTGCTCGTGAAGGAGCTGTGACAGACCTGTCCAGCGTGACAGCAGCACGGGACGTGTCCAACGTGACAGCTCTGTCAGTGGCCTTTTGTCGCTCACTTACTGGCTACGTGGTGAGTTCCACTTAAACAACAAACCACAATGGATTGCTTCTTCTGTACCTTTATACCAGACTCTTAAAACTCGTATAAGGAAGATAGATGAGGGCAGACTTTGGAGAAGCATCTTGGTTATGTGTGTTTGTGTGTTGGCAAACTGGAGAGTTAACAGAGACTGTGGTGTCTTGTCTTGCAATCTGCAGCTGGGAGTCGCTTACAAAGGTGTTTCTTGGAGAGGGTGTATGTGACTTTGCTTAAAATACATCTTTAAGGGTGTGGAGGAATCCTTCCTGGGGACTGCTAGCAGGGGTGAATCATAGAATCATTACGACCATCTTAATGATTCTCTCATCTATCTATCTAAATCATCAAATGATTCTATCATCAAGATCATCTGGTCCAACCATCCCCTACCACCAATATCACCCACTAAGCCATATCCCTAAGCACCAAGTCCAACCTTTCCTCAAACACCCCCAGGGACAGTGAGGGGGGGTGGTGTTGATGAGGTAACATGGCTGAGAAAGTAAACAAAGATTCAGCAGCTGACGGAGCCATTCATTGCAGAAAAGAGTACCCTGCTGGAGCATGCAAGTGTCCTTGCAAACATTTTCGGATGAGTAAAAGGGACCGATTCAATTAACAGCCTAATAGTACGTCTGTTGATGCACTAGCTTTGCTTGAATTGTCAAATGATTCCATGCTCTGGTGCAGAGAAGTATTAATTACTAAGCAAGGATTACGACGGAAAGACCTGCTGCTCTGAAGTCCAGCACATTACTTAATTAAGGGATCAAGTGTACGCTTGATGCTCTTTTTAGATGAAAAGTACTTACTACATGCTTTTGTCTTTACTACATTAACAAACATTTAATGAGGTATAGCCACAGATAAGAAAAATGAGGTAAGAAGACTGACCATTACAAGATAGTGTGTCTGTTTTTCATCAGTGGGCCTTTACAGAGTCAAGAAGAACCAAGTAGGACGTTTTCTGTGTAAAGCTGGCCAAATTTAGTCTTGTAATCTTAAATTATGATTTTGGCAGAGTGCAGTTCTCAAAATCATTGCATAACCTTTAAAAGCCTCTGACCCCCAGGCAATTTAAATTCCATTGGCAAAGGCTTCTAGGAGCAGGAAGACCTGATTCTGCCTGTGTGCAGCTGACCTCATGAACTTCTATGCTTCTCCATCCAGTTCCCTCCAGGATCTACTTCAGTAGAGGCTGCACAAGTTTCCGCAGAGAACTCTGCACAAAGCACAGAAGCTTTCTCTGAGCCTTTGTTTCAAAGTGGGAAAGAGAAAAGAGTGGTGTTTTCTCCTGTATTACACCAGAACTTCAGGTGCTGAATTAGGCAAGAGCCCTAATTTAATGGCTCATACTGAACTGTCGTCATGACACTGTCCTTGTCAAACTTCTTCATATGCAACTGTACTTTCTGATAAAGCAAAACCAGTAACTTCAGTGTCTGAGCTTCATCCCACCATGGTCATCTGCCCGTATTCATGTTAAATCTCTCTTGAGTTAACTCAGGATTCACTGATGCAGAGGGATCAAAAACATTAGTGTGTCTTGCAGCTGTTCTGATTAGGGCATTCATGTGGGACAGGAATTTGTGGGCTCTTATCCCTTGTGCCAGATATATTGATTACATTTGACACTGGAGCTAGGGATTCCATTGCAGGAGCAAGGCACTTGTGGTGAACATAGTTTAAGATACATTTGATACAGCCAAAAAGTAAGTAAAACAGTTGAGATTAGAACTGGAGAATTACTGATTTCTCAGTCCTGTTGTTTGCCATGTGGGCTGTGCTTTCTTTCAGAGTACATGCATATTGGACCTTTTCAGGCCCACTGTCTGTGATCCTATCCAGCTACTAGTTCCTTTATCTTTGAGTACAGAAAGACATACCCTGCACTGCATGTTACAGTGTCTGGTCACTCTGCTATTTCCAGTGAATCCAAGGTACCACTGGAACTGAAATCCTTCCTATAAGCTGTAAGAATCATTACTTTATAGTGTAAAATGAAATATAGGCCTCTGAAATGATCTCCTAGAAGTGTAGCTGCCATCATTCAGGTTAAGAAGAAAGTGACTTTAAGCATCTTTACGTAGTAGCTTGAGAAGACTTGTGTGTAAGGTCACTGACGGGCCAGGTATTTTGAGGACAGGATTAAGGACAGGATGCAGCCTGTGCATTTCTCAATTTCCTCTCTTACTTTGGTCAAGAAAAAACATTCAGAAATTCATGACCTTGTACTGAGTTTCTTTATTAAATTATTTTTAGGAGAAAATTCATGTGCGATTACATAGATTAAATCAAGTGCTTGTATCATAGGGTAGCTTTTCAAAGCAAAACATTTTTATCTGTATTGTCTGTAAGCCTCCAGTATGGCAAGAGGGTCGTGAATAGATCCTCCTCATCAGTGGAGCCTTCATAGGATTGAGGATCTGTGAGCACTAATTCCCTCAATAGACAAGTGAAAAATCTCCTGGGAAAAGCCCAAAATCTTTGAAGTCAATGTTGCTGTATCTGGTTTTGGTGACAATTAATTTGATGTACAGATTAATTTATGTTGCTGATTCTGTTTTCAGTGATGGCGTATTAATTGCATAAATTACAAGTTGAATGTGGCCTGGGCATTTTTCCAGCCATGCAATTCCAGCAGGTTCCTGTAGATGTTCTGAGGAAAGTAAAATGGGCTCGATACCACAGGGACAATTTCTGGCAACGCTTACGCAATTAATGGGATTAGTTAAGTACATGTGTATGTGGGTTTGCAGAATATGAATCCACAGATTATTGAATTATGCACTTGTTTAGAAAACAAGCCTGTGCTGTGTATCTGGAGCTGTGAGCAGTGCCTGGGTACTCAAACTGGACATCACTTCTCTGTGGAGTTTCATCTAATGTGAAGATCTGAAGAACCAAGCCTTCTTAAACAGCCTCTGTCTGGCAAGCCCCCGCTGTCGTAAATAGCCATTGAAATACATGCCAGGATTTAAAACATAGTTGATTCAAATTTAATTGAAATCAGCTCTGTGAGTTATGTCTGTGAGCTAATCGGTCCTTTAAAAGAGTTTTCCTGCAACTGAATGCTTGGGGACCGGGAGGTGTTTTAAAGCTGTTAGTCAAGTTATATAATTTTAAGTGGCTAACTTAGTGTTGGACTGGGAGAAGTAAAAGCAAACTAAGAAGTCAGAAAATGAGTCAGGATTTGGACTGTTACTCTAAAAAGTCCCACTTCTCGTGGGCTTGAATGTGTTATAATTAGCAGAGAACAGAAAATGGCACGTGACTGATGAGCCTTTAAGAAAAGATGTAATCAACACAGACAGTCGAAAGGGGAAATAGTAGAATAGGGTGACACATGACTATTAAGACTGATCTGGATGTTGCCTCATATTGCAGCCAATCCACTGCTAGCTATTTTGGGGATGTTGCATAATAAACGGTTTTAAGGAAGGAATTATAGTAGAAGAATGAGTTGGTTTCTTGGGTATTTACACCGAGAGGAGCTGCTTTGAGAAGTAATACACGTGCTCGTTAGCAATAGGTCTGTTGTTGCAGTCCAATTACCAGGGGGTTTTCACGTCTTTATCGTAAGACGTGGTAGGCAGCCACACAACGTCATCAAAGCAATGCAGCCTTCTGTGACACTGTAGAGAAAAGCAAGGCAGGATACAGAGAAGCAGCACAAGCAAAATGCCCTTCTCTGTTCCCAGTAGTTCCTGGAAGAACAAGACAGAATTACATCTGTTGAGGCAGGTGGCCAAGTGTTGATGTAGCTGAGATCTTTGTGGACGGTGGAGAGAGAAAAGCTGTATCTCACATGGGATGAAAGCTTTACTGGTAGATAAGATCCACTGGTATTAAGGGGCAAAGAAGGAAAGATGCTGAAAACCAGGACTTGAAGCTCCACGAGAAGCAAGAGGCTTCTGGCTAATAACATAGCAGTTTAGATCAATTTAAGTGATGTACTGGGGAAGTCTGACTCATAGAAACTATGAGAAGAAAGAGACGTCAAGATGATGACTGTGACTGATGATGGTGTTTTAAGCTCTTTGTTCATATGTTTCCAAGACTTGACATGTAGCACTTCTTAAAAAAGCAACATGTTCTTTTTTTGTGACTTATCTCAGTTTGCACTAAGCATTTTCCCAGGCAGTTTTCTTGTAAATTGTGCTACTTCTCCAGCTATGTAATTGCTGCCGGCATCTGTGGAAACTGTCTCAGACCCAAGTTCTCTCAACGAACCTGATTTATTAAACGTGGCACTTCCAGAATAGTGCTGGAGATGAAAGAGCATGACCATTGCTGGCTAAGAAGGAGCTTAAAGGCAGAAAGACTTTGAAATGATTAATCAAGTGTTATTGGCCTAAGGAGGATTCCTCGCTAAGCATTGAGACCTCTTAGAGTCTAGATCCAGCTTAGGCACTTCTGTGTGCGCTTCTGAGCGGCGGTAGCTCTGTAGTTTGCCTTCTTTCTGTCTGCTTAGCTGCCACGTGCCTTTGTGTTTATTCTGCATAACTTTTTCCCTTGCCACAAAGGAGACATTATCTTGTGTCATCAGCAAAGAAATCGAGGAACCACCAAATGTGTTAACATTGAATTAGGAGTGTTTAGAGTGATGAGAGTGATTACAGTACATGAATGCCTGCCACACTGCTTTCTATCCAGCATTTGATATGCCTGCAAAGCTACTGACTAGCCAGCATTTGATACTCACTAACTACTTGTAAAAAGTAACTGACTGAAACTGTCCTGTTTTCCGCTGGATGTAGATCATGCCTTCCAGTTCTGCCTTGTAGCACAGCAAATAGAACACAGCAGCTATCCTTGCAAGGACTTCCATTTTGCGTTTATACTGTAATCTCTTCTATTTTTCAGTGTTTGCTTTTAACAGCAGCGCAAGTGATTACGTGGCTCAAAGGTTTGGCGCTGACTTATTAGGGAGACTCTCACTGTTAGATTTGGGCTTTATGTCTGACTGCAGGATCTGAAGAGACCAGGTTATTATCTGTGAGGAGCCGCAGGAAACACAGGAGCAGCCTCAGTCCATTTCTAGAGTAGCAGGTGCTATGTCCTACGGCTGTATCCAAAGTTGCAAATAAGGAGTCTACAAAATATACATACATTAAAATTGATTGTGATTATCCAATTTAGGATTTAGACGCTAACAAAACATAGACAGGCCTGTTTGTTTTAAGTCTGTAGTTGGAGCTTCTCTCAGACCAAAACTCAGACGTTAGTTTTCAGGGATGTCGCCAAAGTTTGATTGTTACTATGATTTTTGAAACAGCCATGCTTTCATAATTAATTTTCTTTGACATGTAGAAAATCATTTTGGGATGGTATTTGTGGCCCGTTAGCTTTACAGTTTAAATTATGTGGAATAGAATGCACATTTCTGCCCTTTTAAATATTTTTAAATATTTAAGTTGTCTAAACCAGTGCAAACTGATTACATGCTAGCTTTTGTGTTATTTTTACACTTTACTCTAAAGTATGAAAATATTGATATTTCTTGTTTTGAAATCAGTGTGTTCTAGGGCAATGGCTTCCAAAACCCCTGTTGGATTCATTGGGCTGGGTAACATGGGAAATCCAATGGCAAAAAACCTGGTAAAACATGGATATCCAGTTATTGCGTATGATGTGTTCCCAGAAGCCTGCAAAGAATTTCAAGACTTGGGTGCTCAGGTATAGTAAAAAACTTCCTTTATACCCACAATAACTGTATTTATTGGATCGTGCTTGCATGTGATGTTTTTAAAATTATCTTTTTGTTTGTTTGTTTGTTTGTTTGTTTTTGGTTTAGGTTAAGATCTCATTCAAAACTAAACAGCTTAGTGAATACAGTCAGAATCTTTTCAGATTTTACTTTGAGCAAAGACGTGATTCCACCCTAAGTTATTTTCATGCTGCTAACCAGAATTGCTACTCTGTTGAACTTCTTTCTAGCTGTTATTTATTTATTTATTTTCCTTTTATGAGAGTAGGTTGATGGCCTATTCTTCCACCTTCCTTCTGCTGCTTCCTCCTCCCACAGGTCTAGATGGCCAGTGGGCTGCTTTTCATCTGGTTCCTACTTTGACCTTTTCAGGTTAGACGACCCTAGTTAAAAATTCCTGCTGGCATAGCTGTAAGGGTTATAGGGACATATGAGCTTTCCTGCTGCTTCAAGGTGCAGTCCTCAGGGGCTGGGGAAAAATCTAATTATTTAAGTGCTTATTCTCTAGGAGGCAAGGAAGGTTATGGTGAGAGAAGAGGAAGGAATGAAAAGGAAAAAGGAGAGAAGGAAATTGATCACATTAAGGAGGTTTACCTTCCTGCCATATACCCTGTGAAATCTTGGCCCTGTTCCAGTCAGTGCTATTGCTTTTGTTGATCTGTTAATACAGCCGGCAACCCATTCAGTTCCTCACACGGTTGGGGCAGTCTTTTCTGAGTGTCTGAAATGTATTTGTATGTTTTTGACATACTTCAAAGCTATAGTAGTGCAGACAGCATGGGTGAATGGATAGGTACATAAAGCACTGAAACAAAGAATGTGTTTGAGTAAGGAGAAACCAATTCAAAAATAATACGTGAAAGAAATTTTCAAGCAGGGCAAGGAACTTTGAGGTAGATATAGATAAAGGAACTGTATGCCTTGAAAGTCTAAACTGGTAGAGCTAATTACAATTGTTTTAAATAATTTCTGAAAGGTAAAATGATAAAGTGCGCCTGTTGATAATTAATTGCAGTTGCCCTTAAATAATTACAGTATCTTGACTTTATGTGGGAAAGCAGGCTTTTCAGCTTGTTTTCCTAGCTACTATTTTCATTTCCTTAAAGTAGCTGAGACCCTTGGGCATGAACCAGATCTATGTTGAGTAAGAGGCCTTGCAAATGGAATGGTTTGAACAATTGGCTATATTTTAATTCACTTTCTGCAGTGGGCTCTCTTTGCTGCGGCTGCCCCCTTGGATGACTTATTGCCATAGCAGTAGAATCCTTAGCATCCACTTCAAGACTTCATGTATGATATTAAAAGTGAACTATAATGTTTTTGAAAATAAAGCCCAAAGTATGTTTTAAGATCGTAAATCACTAACAGAATATGTTGGTAGGCTTAAATACAAATAAAACACACTTTAAGAAAATATTTTAACGTAACTCCCTCTTTTTGATCTACAGGTGTAAATCCTACCCCAGTGTTTTTTTCAGGACTTAGAAACTTGTGGGTCCAGTGGGCCTTGTAGAAACTGATGCAGAAGGAACATTGGGCTCCAAGGGCTGATTTTTCTTTGTTGTGGCTTGTAGGGTGAAACTGTCAGGAGTGTTATGGAGGTGAAAAGATGTCCCCCAAGAGACAGTAAATGTTGTCAAGTGTCCATTGTTTAAAGTCAGCGCTATTGCTAAGGTATATGGAGGGTGACAAATGTTTGATTATAAGTCTACATATTCTGTGACTCCACTTCATTATCCTCCGAAGTAAGAACTGGGAGGTGTGTCAGGAGGCAGCCACCTGCCTGCTGCTGATGACTAGTAAGGGGAAAACTGCCTGAGCAAGAGCTATTCACCCCTCCATCAGCTGGGGAGAAACTTGGATGAAGGTGCAAGGGGACAAACAAGAGAACACAGAGTAGTTCTGTAAGTTGCCTGCGCCCTCATTCTGTACTGTCTCTTTTGTCCACCTCATAGTTAACGTTTTCTTCCTCACACAGTGAAGTGCATATATATCACAGCTACTTTGCTTCAGTTTACATATCTTCAAATCATATATCACATTTGGAAAAGCTACTGAAGTCATCTGATGAGTCAAGCAGCAAAAAGTGGAGCTTTCTTCAGTGTATTTAGTGAGAATGGCATTGCAGGCAAGTAGATCTGTTAATTGGCTTACAGTAAATGTAAAGAAAAATACAGGAAAGCATTTGGAAGAAATATAAGCAGATGTGCATGTTGGAGGGCATAAGCTGATGGCAAGTATGAAGAAGTTTCCCCTATCCAAATGCATACTGCAAAAATTTGCTTGAACTGACTGGTATCAGAACATGTATGGAACGTGGTGGGCTGCTAGTCTTACCTGGTATGATCTATGTTAGCAATCAGCAATTAGTATTTGGTACGTTTTTTAGTTACACACATATTCTTAATAACTTTAAATACTTACTGCTTCTTAATAGCATTCAAAACATTCAAGTTCAATGATCATTCTTATGCAGGAAGTTCCAAATAAAAGGAGTTTATTTAAGAACCAGCTAGGTAGGTTTCCTCTGGGATTATTAATCATATTTATTACAGTATCAAAAAGCCAAGAATGACAATTCTCATTTTAATTACCACCTTTTTTGCTGCCTAATACAGGTTAGCGAAATGATTTTCCTTCGTACGGTTGTGGAAGTAACTGTCACAGTCAGTGTGCATTCCTAATCTCATTTTCTTCATTTAGAAGACGTTGTAGTATTTTGAAAGACGTGGATGGAAAAAATGAATTTCTGTACAGATGACTGCTGTACTATGTCTTCTATATGTATTGCTTAAGCTTTGTTTCAAACTCTAAGACAACAATAAAACAGTTGTGTCCTATCTACATAACAGAGTGGAAATATGAAACTGATGTAGTTTTAAAGTTGTGTGCCCAATATAGCATGTTTTTCAATTTCTTGTTGAAATGGACTACAGAGTGTTCACCTGATAACTTGCAAACCTTTGAGAACACTGGAGATAATATCTTCAGATCAAGAAGGTGTATATAAATCCAGGTTCTAATTACACACTTCCTCTCTACTCCTCTAATAACACACATTGGGACTGAACTGAACCAGAGATACTCTGAACTAAAGACAAAGGTGTCATACTCCTACATAAAGAGCTAGGCTGTCCGGTCTCCAGGGAAGCGAGTCATAAAATTAACTAATCAGGTATAGATGTTTTTCTGCTTGTAATTGCCTCATTTATTCTTCCTAATGTTTGTTCTTTGGACTAGGATATGTTTCCTTTTTGTATCTGTGTGTTATACCAGATGTTTTAATGTAATATTAACTTATACTTAAAAAAAAAAAAAAGGTTAAGTCCCATCTAAGTTTCTTTTTTTTTTTTTTGAGAGAGAGCTCTTTTCAGTGAATATACAGTCTTGTCTTCTTTCACTTATTTTACAATAAATAGTAATCAGGAAGTTTATTTTGCTGTGTTCCAGAAGTCCTTTAAGATGTTGCTCATCATTTCTTCCAAATGTATGTATTATGTGCTCTCTTAGATGCTGAGAATTTATAAGAACATTGTATATTAGAATATAATATATTAATATATAATTGCCTTGAGTATCAAAACTAACACAAAATGATAACAAATACCTGTACTTGGAAACAGATTGGGTGTAGCGAAATGAGATCATTGATTTGTTCATTTGTCTATCTTATAGAAAGGAATCAAATTTTCAAGTAGCTTTCAAACTGCAATTTCCTTAACCCTAATTCCATGTGATATGGAAATTGTGATTTACCCATACTGAATAAGTGCATATGAAATTGTATTTAAGACATTCCTTATAATTTAGAGACTCAAGGCACATAATAGATCTAGCAGAATAGATCATTGTAACATTAAGGTTACTCTTTATCATCCAGCAACAGCGTGATACTACAAACCTTATCCGCAAACAAAACCTACTTTCTGCCCACAGAATCACAGAATGGTTTAATTTGAAAGAGCCCTTAAAGATCACCTAATTCCAGTGCCTCTGCCATGGGCAAGGACACCTTCCACTAGACCAGGTTGCTCAAAGCCCCATCCAACTTGGCCTTAAACCCTTCCAGGGATTTTCCAGTGCCTCCCCACCCATACAGTAAATAATTTTTTTCCAAATATCTAATAAATATCTACTCTCTGGTAGTTTAAAGCCATCATCCATTGTCTTATCCCTACAATCTCTGACAGAGTCCCTCCCCAGCTCTCCTGTAGGCCCCTTTAGGTACCAGAAGGCCACTGTAAAGTCTCCCCAGAGTCTTCTCCAGGCTGAACAACCCCAACTCCCTCAGCCTGTCTTCATAGGAGAGATGCTCCAGCCCCTTGATCATCCTCATGGCCCTCCTCTGGACTCACTCTAATTGGTCCATGGCCTTCTTGTGCTGGGGGCCCCAAAGCTGAACGCAGTGCTCCAGGTGGGGTCTCAAGAGAGCAGAGAAGAGGGGGAGAATCTTAATTCCTCATCTTTCTCATTTTAATTCCTGCTTGGAACTTCTCCTTTCAGCAGAATACCTGAATTAATAAAATCGTATTTAAACCTCTTGTGCTGATGATAAAAGAATAAGCTGTAGTTTTTTGTTGCTGTTTTCCCTAAGCTATATTAACAATGCATTTTTTAAAAATAAATTATTTAAAACTAATATTAGACAAAAATCCTACTGGCATATGCCTTCTTGGAGCTAATTGGCAAAATTCACTACTTAGCTGTCATTAATTCACTTGTTGTGTACATACCTTAAATACCATACCGTTGAGAATGAAGTGGGGAAGGTATGACACCTTTTAAGTTAAATATGTTTATGTAGCAACAAATAGCTACAAATATGTTTTGAAACTTGTTTAGACATTTTGGTGAAGGATGCTTGAGCTGATCATTTTCTTCTTCAAAGACGTCAATCAAGATATCATGAGAAACATCAGTTAGTTTATTTGACTTTTATAAGGTGATGCTTGGAGGTACATTAAGTCTTTTTTTTTCTTTTTTCCTCGGTCTTTCTTTCTTCCAACACTGTATGTAAGCCAAGAAAATAAAAGTGAGATCATACTTAGTGTTGTTCCTCCCTAGAAACATTATAGAACAGTATTTTGTACAGAGGCATGGTTTATTAGTGAGTTGAAGATTCATGAATGGGTTGCAGACATCCACTTGTGATGTTCTGGAGGAACTTCCATAACAGGACATCCTTTTTTTTTTTTTCTTTTGTTTGTTTGTTACTGGATCCAATTAATTGACATTTTCCATTATGAGGGCAAAGTTTGTCTTGCGTTCTAGCTTTTTTACCGAACTTAGTTGTGTCTGATGACCTACAAATACTTAAAACAGACTCAGCTGATGTTTCTTTCTCAAGAAGTGGAAGCTTACTTCCTTTTTTTTCTTTTCTTTTCTTTTAAAGGTAACGGATTCCCCAGCAGATGTAGCAGAAAAAGCAGACAGAATTATTACCATGCTGCCTTCTAGTCCCAATGCAATAGAAGTTTACACAGGAGCAAATGGAATTCTAAAGTAAGGATTTGCTGTAGTCTGAAGAATTCCCTCTCGTACTCAAGCCTGTATTACACTGCTTGTCAAATGATCATTATTGCTGTAACCCTTGCTGCACCTTCAGGGCACTTAACTTGATGCTCTCCTCTATTTTCTTATTGTTGGTATTTCTAATTACATGAAATCTTTTCACCTATGCTTTCTTTTGAATGGCTTGTGGCTAAAGTCAAATTTTATTTCCAGTAGAATAATAATTTATGTGAATTTGAGACAACCCAACTGACCTACCTAACTTCTCAGTTGCATGTGTCTTTTACCATTAAGGTAATGTACTACAGTAAGTGCAAGTGGAATATTTGCTGGCAACAATTACTTGCTCAAATGCTTTTTTCTTTGACATGAAATCCTATAAATGAAATGTTCTGAAGAGCTGCTGTTGTGTCTCATAGTATTAAAGTGCTGACATAGAATAGCTGACAAGACTTTATTGATTTCTACTCTTGTTGTCCATTATCTTGGCAGACTCCTTACTGTTGATAAAGGAATTCCAGGATTTGTAGGCAAAAATGGACTATTGAGCAGTAAGAGCCAGGGATTTATGTAGTGTTATATTTCACTTGAAACCAAATCCTCGTATTGAGTAAACTATAGCAATGTCTCCATCTATTCGTACTTAAGAATGAAGATCACCATTACAGTTGACTCCTTATTTTATTGGAGATGATAGGGTTTTCTTTTTTGAGTATAGAAGGTGACTTAATCAGCTTTCCATTTTGGCTTATTGGAAAATACTTTTATACACAGAGGTATTTTTAACAGTAATACGTTCTAAATGCTTTGAGGTTCAGTGGTTTCAGGCCTTTAAAGTGGATCTTGTACTGAAGCAGTAGACTGTTGGTTTGCTTCAAGATTCAGTGTCATACATTTTACCATAAGGCTTCTGAATACCTGAAAGGGCAGACATGCTCCCCGTTCCCCAAACCATGAAATGAGTCTGTTTCAGAGATGATTATCTTCAGATTACCATTTTTATACCCAATTGATTTGACCAGGGAAAAAAATGTAAAAGGAATTTGTCCAAAACCTCAGTTTTGCTTTGGCATGTTTCTAATTCAGATAGGCTTTAGTCTTTAGATTTGGTGAGAAAACTGTTTCATTTTGGTTTATTCTTCCCTGTTTATTAACAAGAAAATATCTGAAGAGTTTGTTTAATCTGTAACAATGGTTTTATTAGCTTTTGTGGAGGGATTCCAACTGAGCCTAAAATCCATTATTTGCAGAATTCTAATAGTGGAAATACTTAGAGTTTTTGGACTTGCCAAATAAATTAATAGTGTTTTAAAAGCTCTTCTGGCCACATGTGCATTGCTCTTAGCAGGATGACTGAGGCTACTCAGCCCCTGTGAGGATCTTGCAGGATCTTACTGCTATCCAGCTTGATAATGTAGGTGAAGAAACATACAGAAGACAAAAATATAGTAGATCATCTAAAACTGGTAAAATTGTAGTTATTGATTGTAGTCTATATTAAGGTGCAGTGATTAGAAAATGAAATAGAGGAGAGGGATTTTTCTTTTTTCCTTCCAACACAGGAAACAATAGCTGCTTTCTTCCCTTACTGTCCATCCTCTAATTCCTCACAAAGCAGGACTGAGCAGATTGAAGTCTGTAGCTTATGCCCTTCAGGAAGAAGGGTAATTGGATCAGTCCCACAAAGCTAGACAAACAGCTGTGGGAGAATTGTACTCAGGATGGCAGTGCTTTGAAGACTGATTGGCAGTGCTTACTGGTATAATGCAGGCAGTTAATCTTCTGAGAAGAACAGAAGATACAGTAAGCAGTCTTGCTGCTGCAGTTTCTCAGCCTCCATATTCAAGAGAAGGAAGTGTCATTTGACAGTAGTGGTTAATTGTTGCCCTGAGTGACTTGTTCATTGATAACTGGTTAGACCTCACTCATTTTCTGAAGCTTTTTGAGCTTCACTGAAGAAAACATTGACATTAAGGGTTAATGTAGTCATCCTTCTGGGTGACCAGGGAGTCTGTGCCACTGAATGTAGTGCTGAATGTAAGAGGAGATGATGTAGTGCTGTATCTGCTAAGCTGGTTTTTGTTTGCATGTGTGCAAATTATCTGCAGCAGTTCATCTATCATGTGAAAAAGGACTCAGTGTATGTGGCACTGCTTTAATCTGGAGCTGTAGTGGGGTTCACAGCCACATGTATGTATTGAGAGACTATTTCCAGCAATCCAGCTAATTCAGTGCAGTGAACCTCACTGTACTCCCAACAGCACGCGAAGTGCAGGGAGGCTCTTTGTCTAATGTAACATGTAGCTTTAAATAACTCACCTTTTTATGACTGAAAAATTATGCAGTTTGATTTCATAGTGCTTGCGGGTCCAGTGGTCATTAAATCACAGTGCAATTGAATGGAAAGATGGCTAAAGATATAATCAACGTTTTTGTTGTGTAGGCATTTTTAAAATTTAATTTAATTGCATTTTTTAATCACATGTACAGCTTCTCATGTTCTGCCATTTGGGATACAATTCTTCTGCCTAAATTTACTTGCTGTCAGTGCGGAAACTTTGTACCATTCTTTGCTTTTAAGTCTGTAATGGGCTTTTGTGGTTTTAGTTACTATCTTTATACAGAACAAATTGTAACAATAATCAAAAGAATACAAACAGGCTCTTCTAATAAGATGCTTAATACAATGTATATAGAAAGAAAACTCTGTTAAGCTATATATGAAATTTTAAGCTACATTGGTGTTTAGTTCCATTGCTTAGAATGCATCTTCGGTGATCTGTATGTGATACATTGTTCAAGCTTATCTGATGGCAGATTTTCCTAGTGTACTCCTTTTGTGTAATTTCTTTTACAATAGCATTTAGGAAAAAAATATTTTTGTGTATGTGCCTGTGTGTTTTTGTGTGTTCATTTTTTATTGTGTTTTGAGTCAATCAAAACATTGTAACATACGTACTCAGGAGTATACACACTGAGCAGATCTTGCTCAGTAGAGTTTAAAGCATTACATTTAATTATTAGTGTACCAAATAATATTTGTGTGGTTGTCATGCTGAGGAAAGTCATTGCCATGGTAGTAGTTGTAGATACCTAGTGCAACAGATATTTAATAATAATAAATCTTTATTCTAGGAAAGTGAAGAAAGGCTCATTATTAATAGATTCCAGTACTATAGACCCTGCAGTTTCAAAAGAATTAGCTAAAGCAGTTGAAAAAATGGGAGCTGTTTTCATGGATGCTCCGGTTTCTGGAGGTAAGTCTTCATTAACAGTTTACCTCATATTGGACAGCTTGTCTTCTTGCTAGCAATCTTAGCCACCACTCTGTGCCCTTACTGGTGCAGTTGGTTGTCTTTGCTAGATGTGTGGTATTCCTTTTTTGTTCCATTACAGTAAAGAAAGGGCTCCCTGTTTTCTCTGTGACGTGTGCATGTTTACCTCTGTGTAAAGAGTTTAATGCTTTCTATGAAGCACAATGCTGTTTGTCATCTCTCGCCTGAAGGCAGTGCTGTTGCGGTAAGGGAGCTCAGGCTGGTAAACCTGATCTTCCAGTGTGCTGTATTTTTTATTCTTTGATGCAGTTGTATTACTGTCTTTCTAGGAGCAGATGAGAAACATTGGTGTTTAAGAAGTTACATGTTAATTTAGGATTTTTTTTAGGCTTACAAATATGCTTTGTGATACACCTGGACAAACTGAATTTTCACATGGTTTGGTATAGTGGTTCTTTTAGTTCTTTCAGAGTGTTGTATTATGATGCAGGTGGTCAACATCTCTTCAGTCTCCATCTGTTTATTTCTGGTAGGAAAGACTATTTAGCTTCCTCTGGTTTTATAATAGTTAAATTCTGTGTATGAGAGATGTTTAGCTATTCTTGAAGTTGGAGGTTGGTAACTACTAATATCTGAGTATTGCATCTATTGTGAGAAATAATTTAGAGCAGGGAAGTCTTTCATTTTGTGGATAGAGGAGAGTAGAAGCATAAAATTAAGGTTTTGAAAACACAACTGTAGCTAACTGTTATTATTGTTGAATTGTTATCTAAAACATTAGAAGACGAGGAAAACCCATTTTCTGCAGGAAAATCTTGCGGGTTCCTGTTGTTGTTTTGGTTTGGTTTCTTTGTTTGGTTGGTTTGTTTTTACAATCCACTGTAAAAATTAATCTAAGTGGCATTGTGAGTCCTCTATTTTACTGTTTTAATTGAGGTAATTCAGATAGCTATACCTGAAAGAGAGTAAAAATGAAAGAGGTATGAGAAAATCTGGTCTTACAGAGTTTATCAAAGGTATGGTGCACAAGCTAGAAAGAATACAGAGCCTATATGTCAAATCATGAAGATGAGTGTGGGTGAGGTTCAAAACCTAATCTTTTTAATTTTCAAGTGAAAACTTAGGTATGATTTGGCAACACAATAGAAGACAAAGTGTTCACCACAATTCTAATGTGAAAAGAAAATAGGAAGAGTCAGAGCATATTCAAGGCTAATGGGAAGATAGGATTCTTGCTTCCAGCCAAAATATTAGTCCTTGCTTTATAAAGTTAGATAACTTGTCAGCATGGGAATAAAAACCACAGAAAAAAAGTACATTGTGGGTGGAGTATATATCTATCTGATCCTTTTCTAAACATTGCATGGCCTTATACTTACTAGATTGGGAATCGTGACAGCTTTTATGTGGTTCTTTTCAATCCCTTTCCCCCAAATATGTTGTTTACCTGAGGGAATTATTTATCTTTTGGAAACATCTGTAATTTGTTTTTTTCCTATATTTTTTGCTTTGAGGCTGTTTATGCTATAACTACAAAGAAAGAAAGAAAAATTTGTTTCCAAAACAACCCTAGCAGGTTTTTGGGTTTTGTTTCTTGAGAAAATGTTAATACTGAGACTGGGTTAATGTGATAAAATACAGTTGACTAGTCTGAATACAGATGGCTGTTTTGGTGTTTAGTGGTTTGTCTGAATACAAACTATTTGGTGTTTATTGTGAGTTACAGATTGAGTGATATTATAAAGGAGGGGGAAAGAATTGATGTTTATCTTTCTGGTATATAATACGCTTGTGAATGCCAAGTAGCACTCCGTACAAATCATAGTTAAAGTGGGCAGTTGCTAGACAAATGGAGAAGTTAAGTATGCTAGAAAAACATTAATGTTATGCTTTGGTTTTTGTGTCTTTTAGAGCCTTACACATCATGTCTTTGGGGTATTTTTGTATGTCCTGACTGCATTGTTGGCCATTAGACAAAGTGCTAAATGGAGAAGTATGCTCAGCTCTCTAGAAATTGGCAGGCGTTATTGTGTTGCTGTGAAATGCAACAGACTTGGCAGGAGCGTCAGTGAGGGAGTTTGTGGGATAGAGTGAGGAGGAAGAAGAATCAGCAAGCCTGAACTGTCATCTTTAGACCTGTGTGTTTACTAGCTGTTATTGGCAGGTGATTCCACTGGTGGGTTTGGGTATTTTGGGTATGCCTAGTGGACATTAATATTCATCTGCACTAAAAAAAAATAATTTCACAAACTAAATAATATTTTGTAAGTCGCTTGGTCTATAAACCTCATGGAGAAATAGTGGTAATTTTATTCCTGTTCTGACATTGCAAATAAAGTATTTTAAGGCCTAGAGTTAGTGCTGGATTACAGTGGCTTGTTTGCAGCCTTACTTCTTAAAGGTTATTTCCCTTAACCCTTTTCAGATGGGCCTATGCTGCCCATGTAGTAGTGCTGTGCTCTTCATATGATTGGCCTACAGCATTTACTTGCAGCTTATAGTCAAGACCCATTAAGTAGAAGATAATACACCACATTACTGTAGTGTTATTTTGTATTAACTAACTTTGGAAAATACTTCTCAGCCCAGCAGTAGCATGCAGATTATGCTGCTAATGCTGTTTAGAGATAGCAGTCACTTAATCCTGGGATTAGGATCTCTTGTAGGTCCCCATGAGAAAGTTGTGCCACAGTTCCCAGTGCTGCCCTTTGTGAGCTCTTTGTGAGCACAGACAAATGAAGAACAATCTTCACAATCCATGTTTATTTAATATATATTTTTAAACATAGAGGGGTAAATTTATCTTCTTGCAAAGATTGGATTCTGCATCTTTGTACACGTAAAAGGCTTTTAAAGCACAGATCATGACAGAAGCATATTTAAAACTGACTTCTGGTGCTACTGAAAGGGCTGTTGGCTTAGCACGAGATCTCAATTTAACCTTTAAGAATTGGGTCAAGAGAGTCTTCCCATTGATTTCACTGGAAGTATGATTCTTACCTGGCAGTTCAGAGCAAATTTTACTGGTGGTTTCACTGATGCTGCTGTAACATCTACTGTTGAATTTAGTACACAAAATATGCATTGTCTAAAGTACAGTGGACAAAATGTTGTTGGTTGTTTGGTTTTTAATTTAATTTCTGATGAGATGGTTTCTTCACTGTAAACACTGTTAGGTGTTCAGATAGTATCTTTGCAACTTTTTCCATTTCCACCAACTTTGAAATTAATGTCAGCTCCTGTTCTGCTCAAAACATGTTGTACTGCATTTTGCTGGAACTTCACAAGAAGATGTGCCAGCTTGATTACCTTTTATGTTTTTGGAGTTACAGCTAAAGTTTTAAATTCTGTTCTAGGTACAGTTCTGTGGATCTGATAAGGAAGTTTAGCTAGGTCTTTCTCCTCGCTGTCTACTTTAGCTGAGATAGTAGTCAATAAGTCATCCTGCTAATTGTTAATAGCTGTCAGAGAGAGCTGCAGTCATCCTAAAACAGTAATAAACACTACAACAACACATTTTTTTTTTAGCAACTGTGGGCTGGAGTAGATTAGAAAAAGTTGGAATTTCTATTCCAGCTGTCATTTCAAACTGTTTCATCTTACAGTAGTACTTCCATAAGCTCCAGTTAACCATTAAGTGGTGGAAAGAATATTACCAATAATAATTACAAAATGAGACTTCTGCTCTATGGCAATGGAGACCTTGAAGCATGAACTACAGACTTAATCCTTGTGTGGCCAAGTCTGTCCTTAATATGGAGTAAAGAAAAACAATATTTAGCAATGGTGTGGAGATTTTTTCTTTGATTTTTCAGTCTAATAACACTATATTTCATGGCTCCTCTCCTCTCCTTAAATGAGAACATCTCCAAACTTGAGGAATGAATGTATTCAATTGCATGCCTGGACTGATGGAAGAGATTAAATAGGCCAACTTCAAAAATTGGTGAATGTTTCTCTTACTCAGATGGTTTAATGCTTTTCCAAACGAAGTAGGAAGAGGAGAGGGCCTTATAGAAGACTTAGGAGTATGTCTTTGCACACTAATGCTTTCAAAGATGAATTGAAAGATGTTTTAAGACAAGACTAATGAAAAATAGTAATGAGTGGTTCACACATTGCAGCTCTTAGAGTGTATGTTATATATCATATGTATATATTTTATATGTTATTTATATAATAACAAATATATATGTTATTTATCTAATAAAGCATCATCATCATCAACATGTTTGTATATTAAACAAAGCTGGTTTCATAGACCTCTCATTTGTTGGAGAACCTCAATAGAGCTACTTATTCTTGGCTTTCCTAGGTTGTATCTGCTTTGTTTCCATTAGCTTTGTGCATTTATAGAGAAATGCAATCTTATGACTTCTGTTCACATTTTAGCTAAATGCAACAGAACTTATTACTTTATCACAAAGCTTTTTGACTTAGGGACAATAGTAAAATTTTCTGTCATGCAACCTTAATACTAAGGTAGTATGAAAAATGTTATTGAGTAATTCTGAAACTTAAATGAGGTGAAACTAGTACAGGAAGTAACTGATAACAAAGGGAAGGATCAGGTGTACTGTCATTTAAGGAGGCTGAAATGAGGACAAAGAAATACTTTGAAATCTGAGATGCTTTAAAAGCCTCTGATTCCTAATAAATTAAAAAAAATTGAAACTGTTTAACAATTCTTACGTTTGTCAAAATAAAGCCTGTTTAATAGGCCTCTGTTTTCTTGGAGAGAAGATGGAAGAGAACGGAGATCTTGAAAATATACACATTGTCAAATTGCATATTATGACACTGGGGAGAAATCACAGCAGCTGCCATTGCAGGAGGATGAGATAGTACATTTACTGCTGTGCTGACTTTGTGAGGGTATTTTTCTTCTGTGAGTCTGTTACGCTTTTTATTTTACTTTTATGGAGAATGCAAAAGATAGTACACGGCTAACCAAGAACAAACAGATTTGTTGAGAGTATCAT